AGAATGGCTTGCTTGTCGTAATATGTGTTGTTTCTTTCCTTTGGCCCTCTCTGTTCTGTGCCTTGTTGTGCTCCTTCTCGCACACACTGCACCTCACGAATGCGGGATGACTTGAAACCAGCGGCTTGTCTGGGGCTAGCGCCACCAACCACGCTCTGGAGTCTTGAAGAGACTGGCACGCAGCATGACTCGGATGGACCTGTGGGTTTGCATGAGCCCACCTTAGCCCGTGCGCTCCAGGACAGTTTGAGTGAACAGTCCCCTCTGTCCTGATGTGCGGAATCTTCAAAGCAGTCACAACATGGCCCAAACTTGGCTCCTTGTGCTGTCCACCTGGTAATCAGAGAGCGCGCAAACTCAACGAAGCTCAAACCCTCTGCGGCCTTTTCCTTGTCCGTCTTGTCCTTTTCGATCTTGTCCGTCTTGGCTTTCTCCTTCTCCTTCGGCTTGGACTTCTCTGTCTTCTCGGTCTTTTCAGCCTTCTCGCCCCGCTCCTTGTCAGGCTTTTTCTCGGCGTCGGGCTTCTTTTCTTTCTCCTTCTTCTCCTTGGTCTCCTTGGTCTCCTTTGTCTCCTTCGTCTCCTTTGTCTCCTTCTCCATCTCTTTGACCTCCTCCTGCTCCTTGACTTTTTCCTGGAGCTTTTCCTTCTCTTCTGGCACGATTCGGCGCTGTTTCAGCGCCTGACAAGGCATTCGTAGGTCAAGCTCTGCACATCTGCACTTGCAAAGCTCTCGCATCGCACACTCCTGCATTTTCTGCTTCAAATGCTCCAGCTGCCGGTTGCTGATGTGGATTTTGGCATTTGTTCTGCCTGGCAGTCTGGCAGTCTGGCAGTGAATGCATGTCAAAACTGCAGAAGGGAGCGGCGCACGGCGCACCTGAATCCAACTCGTCTCCGGACGGCTCCGAGTCCTGCGTCGCCACATGCTTGGTCTGCAAAATGTCGCAAACTGGGGTCCTCATTTGGAGGCTCTGGCCTGATTCACAAGTCAACTTGCGAAGTATGCGTTTCGTTTGTGGAGCCTTGGTGTTACTTGAACTTGCGACGGAGGAAGAGCACTGGGAGTTTCGATCTTCGGCGGCGTTGCTGCTTTCTGTCCTTAGAACCGGCTGCCCTTCTGGGGGCAACGCGCCCTCTCGGGCTCCAGCGAGGTGTACGGCCTGCGGACGCAGGCGTTCCGGCTGAAGAAACATGGGTTGCTCCGGCCTCCTGTTGGCGTGTTGCTTCCTACAAAAGTGTAACATGTACAACGAGCAAGCAACGCATAGCAACGCACAGCAAAGCATAGCAACGCATCCATGAAAGCATGCAGGCTCAGCAGGCTCATGCAGCAGCATTTGGCACCTCCCGTGTTGATGTCCGTCGCGGCTCCACTCCGCGCAGGCGTGGAAGCCTCCTCAGCCGGCTTTGGCCTTTGGCCTTCGGCTCGCAGCGCCCTCTGGGGCCTTTCGGAGCGCCCTCTGGGAGCCAGGCACTCCGTGCGCCCTCCCTTCGAAATGGGGGCGGCTCGGGATGGATCTTCAGCGGCCGCGACCTGTCAGCGAACAAGACTGCAAACCGAAGGCCTCCGCAAGTGTCACGAAGCTGTGCCAATGCTCGACTTTGCCTCCAGGCTGCCGGAGTGGTCGGGGCCACGTCATCTGCCTACAGGATCCGAGCCAATTTCATCCGAGTTCAAAGTATAAGCAAGGCTCAAGGGATTGGGGGTACGCCATGGCTCATACAACCGCCTCCACCGCAAATAGCAAGGACTTCTCGTCAAACTCGAAGCCCGTGTACAAATCCTCCACAGTGCAATGCAAGCTGCCAGAGCTGATCTGTCTAAAGCCTGCGCATCTTTTGACGGACGGCACGAATTGGACGAATTGGACGAATCATGCATAGGATCCAATGGAAGGCTCAGCCGTCAGCTCAGCGCATCACTCTCGCTCTCACTGATTTCCTCCTGGACAGCACAAGCAAGAATACCAAAAACGGCCGGTTTTCTGGGACCTTTGCGAAGAGGGAGAAGGGGAATCCGTCATTCTGCCTCACGAAGTGATGCAAAGTGATGCAAAGTGATGCCAAGCTGAGGGCTTGTATGGCTGAGTTGAAGGGGCCTTCTCTTGTAGAGGCTGAAGGCACAGGCCGGAACGGTGGACACGGCAATGACCTTCGCACTCGCGAGAGCGAAAGGCTCTGAGGCTCTGAGGCTCTGAGGCGCAGACCATCGCAGCAACAGATCCACCGCCCAGCCTCGCGAATCGAATGGCGTTCGTTTTTTTGTTTGTTCGTTTCGGTCTTAGCTCACTGTGCCCCAGGCTCGCTGAGCCAGCTGCTTGCCTCGTCTCCAGTCCCGAGTCCCACTCAATACCCTCCCGTCAAACGCTGCAAAACGCGACTCCCCTCCTCCGTCGTCGTAGTGGGCCTCTGAGCTCGTGACATTGCGGCGATGCAGGCCATGGCTAAGCCGGCGGCGCAGGGCTCGTGAGGTCGCCTCAAGTCTGTTCCGATTCGCCGATGTCCGTCCGCATTGCATCGCGCTGAGCAAACCACCCAAGCTCACCTGACGGATTCGTTTGCCGATTTCCGAATCGACACATCTTTGGAGACGCATGAGACGCCTCGGCAGAGACCGCGGCAAGGAGCAAGAGTCCTGGCCGGGCACAGATGCCGCCGCTCGGTCGAATCGTCTGCCTCTGCATGACATAGCGCGCTCAAGGCGAGCCAGCACCCGCTTGCCGCTTGCCCGGCAATTCGTGAATCAAACCCTGCCAGTCTTTAGCCACGGGGGGTAGGGCATGGACGGGCTCTGTCACGGCTGCTGTCAAGTCAATCTTTGAGCCGATTTGCTGCGTGATGCCCAAAGCACCAAAGCACCAAAGCACCAAAGCACCAAAGCACCAAAGCACCAAAGCACCAAGGTCCAGTCGTGACGTGTGCCAGGCTATCAGGCCTTCGGCGCCAGATTCTCATCGAGCACAAAGACCATCGAGTACAGGTCCACCTGGACGCCAGAGCCATCCAGAGCCTCGCCAGTAGCAAGTCAAAGAGGCCTCGAAGATGTCGTCGGATCCCTGGCGAAAAGGGAGCGCATTGTCTAAATAGGCTGCGTTTCTAACGGGATGTATCAAATCCAATGGGAAACCGCCGATGCCGCTGAGAAATTTAAGCCCCGGACCGCGGTGCTTCAATTCTTGTGCGGGTTAACATCTGTCCCCCCAATAATAAGCGCATCCCACCTGTTACTAAATATAGTCAGGGGACAAACAATATTCATTGATAGGGGGTACGTGGAGGTTGCTTTGTCCGTTTTTGCGGTTCAAAAGTACAAGCCATCTAATTTTGGATTTACATTCATGACATAAATCTAATTCAGCGTTTGGAATTGGTGCAAGGAGCTTTATGCTGGGCTGGTCGTGTGAAATCCCAAAGTACTGGGGGCCCCGGCGGTTTGGGGATGTTTGGGAAGCCCAAGTTTTATTAATAGGCACGTGATTGCAAAAGGGAAAGAGATTGGTTACATGGCACCAGCCAGGTGTTAGAAGGGTTGAAGTAGCATGGAAGTAGCTGGCGCCCATGCGAAACTGTTCATTTTGGAGCCAGGCAAGCCACAGCACAATCAAAGATGCCATGCTTGACGTACTGCGCGGATTCACACAGACTGTAAAACTCTTGTCAACCACTTGGTCCATCAAACATATCTGAAACTGAAGTATGAGTGCAGTAGCGATGCAATCTGGTGAGAGCCCTTTGGCCTCCTGCCATTCGTAGTACCTCAAATGCCCACATGGCTCGAGTGGCGTGGAAGCAGTGAGGCCCAAGCGGGGTGTCGTACGTGCCGAAGTGATGATACCTTGGATTCATGGCACGAGAAGTGCTGAGCATGAGGACCTGAGGGCACGACCCATCCTCCCACCAACTCTCTTCGCCATAGTACCTCACGGCAACTCCAAGCAGGCGCTGCCAGGAAAACCCTCTACGCACTCGTAGTTCCGCTCGTCTGGCGTTCCATGGCCTGATCCGTCGTGGCTGGCCTGCAAGTGCACTTGGTCAAATTCCCGGACGGCCAGGATCCCTGCCTTTCTCTGAAGGCTTGTCCTGACCCGTGCAATTTGAGAGTTTGCCTGCGAACCTGCCCTAATCCTGTCCTGCCCACATCAGACATGTGGTCTACATCTCGGCCATGCCTGACATCTGCAAGCGGACATGAATGTGACAAAGGGTCGGATCGGCCTTCAATGCTCATCTCCAGCCTGTGCGCTCCGAGCCACGCTTTCTCCCCTTCCGACGGCTCTGAATTCGGGGCCGGGCCTGGCAAGCGCATGGGGCCGCAATTGAACCAAGCTGCGGTCACGCGTTTCCCGCACCATGTCGCCATGCGCACGCACTGCATGAAGCGGGCACCCGGGCACTCGGGCAGTGTCCTTTTTGTGGCTTTGCCAACAATGCCTTTGCGACATTAACAGCTCACGGCTCTGGCGCGCCAGATCTCCCTCTCGTCGACACGACATCAGGCTCCTGATCAATAACGTGCCCAAAATAATTCCAAAATACACAGAAAGGGTCTTCGAGGGGCCTGCGCTTCTTAAAGCCACAAAAAAAAACTAGAGACTCCAGACAACAAACTAAAGCACATTTGCAGACACTAAGTGGAAAAGCTTGAGACTGAAGAAGAAAAGAAGAAAAAAAAGCATGCCAGACCCCATGGCTCCAGATCTTGAACAGTCAGTCAGTTGGGTTTGCCGAGCCACTTGGTGCCTGACCAACACCTTCACGGTGCTTCCTGTCCTATTTTCCATTGGCGAAACCGGGTGAAACCTGAAAGGTTTCCGAGCAGGCACAACATGCCATAAAAAAGGAATCACTCGGAAAGGAACAAAACAAAAACCAGACAAAGGGGTCGGTACTTCTTGCGCCAGGCCTTGTTGCGGAGAGCCGCTTCCTGTGTTTGCGGGACTGGGTCGCCCGGATCACCGCGCTGTTGCTTTTCGCCGGTTTTTTGGGTCGTTGCGCGGGTTTTTTCTGTGGACTCTGTGGACTCTGTGGACTCTGTGGACTCTGTGGACTCTGTGAGGCTAAGTTGAAACCAATGGCGTCCGCGGCCACTTCGGAGGTTTGGAGCTCCGCCCAGAGGGGACCCGGAGAGTCGAGTCCCGAGGCCATGTCCAGGTTCAGCCTGCCCTATTGCTCCGGGTACCGACCATCTCTCAGATGGACGTTTGCCTCACCCTATGCGCTGCTCAATGTCTTTGAGGACTTCAGCTGTGGCCACGCAAGTGTGGCATTCCTGTCCAACGATTGCGTACCTCTGGGGTGAGATTCCAGAGCGCAGCGTGTGGAGGTTTGGAGCATGCGCAGCCATTGGCTGGCAGTCGGTTGGCAGCGCGCCCACTGAAGGCGTACAAAGAGGGAGGATCATTACGACGAGGTGGTTTATCGTAGTGTCGAGGCGGGGTTCCTAGGGTCCGAGTAAAACACCTGTGCCCAGTTGGGGGTCTGCCGTTTTGCTTTTGGAGCTCAAGTTTTCAAAAGAAAAAAGACAAACCCCATGGCTCCAGACCCTCATCTGCCCACATGAAGTCTGCTATTTTCTTTTGCCTTGTTTGGTTTCCTGGAAAAATGTGCTATTTTTTGTAAGTGCAAAAAGGAGCGAGTTTTCCAAAAATGCCCGACATGGCTTCAAATCCTGAGATATGCCCACAAGGGGGTCTGTCATTGCTTCTTGTAGACTCGAGGTTCTCTGCATTGCGGAAAAGTGTAAACACCTGAGTTGTCACAAATCACCAAGTTTAAGGAACTTCAATCAGAATGTCAACCTTGACTCCGAATTGTTAACCATGAACATCTTTCCAAATAAGATGTCTGAATACGCTCAAGTATGAAAAAAAGAAAAGAAACTGAAGCCGGGTTCATCGTAAATTGATAGGACTGGAACGTGTTGCTTGAGTTTCTATTGACTGGTTCCTGTTAAGGGGCCAATTAGAAGAAACGACAAGACTTTCTTTCTTTGTTGAACTTCGTTTTACATAGGTAAACTTCATTCAAAACCATATTTGGCAAGGAATTGCTTTCTGAATACTTAGGTTGAGATTGAAAACTTGTACTTGAATTTGTCCCTGGTCAACATGTTGCTTTTGATTTTGACCAAATTGTCAAACTCCCTTAGAAATAACTTTCTATCTAAATTTGAATACAAGGTGAGAATGTTGATTGCATATCTTCTTCTTATTGAAGCCCAGTTCAATTCTAATTGGATCTTTGTAAATATTTGGAAGAAAGCCCTCATTTAAACTGAAATGCAAGACAAATCGTGTTTTTTCATTGGTTTCACAACCCAGACCCCACACAACCCACTCTCAATACAAATAACGTGGCTGCACTTTGATCCGTCCTGGAGTGCAAAGGACCAGCCCTTGGCATGCTTGGCACTCTTTCCGTTGATCTTTCGCGGACCAACGTCGTTAGTGGCCCATGTCAAGGAGTTGCAACTTGGGCATCGCTTCCAGCCAATCAACTCCAGGAAAGATGCCTGCGACATGCAAACACTGCGTACTGCATAGACGTGCAAGGCAAAAGGATGCACACGGTGCAAGGATTGAGTTGCATCGCTCGGGCTCCAAAGAAAAGATCGAAATGCCGAAATGCGATACCCGCTCTGTCGATTTGCCTTCTCGACCTCGCCGTGTGGTATCGAAGCTGCAGCTCGGGTGGAAGCCGTTACATTGGCCAAGCAGGCGGGCTTCTCCCCGAGGAATTCCTCGCGAGACCCAAGGCGAGCTGAGACTCGACATGAACTCGACCCAGCCTCCAAGGTGCAGTGCGGCGCGCGGTTCCTCCGACGGCTCAAGGAGGGCGAGCGGGAGCGGACATCCGCCAGGTAGCTCTGCAAGCTTGGAGCCTGCCCGGCCGGAACTGTGCTTCTCAACGTGTCCAGGTGCCATAAGCAAAACATCGTGACGCGTGGCACGCATTCTCGTTCGTGTGAATGCAGGTGTCTGGTGCTTCTGTGGGCGGAGCTGTCCTCCGCGTCCGTCGACTGGCGCACCTGTCAAAGAAAAACAAGCCAGCCACTCTTCAGTTGGTGAGCCTCCGTGGATGTCAGGTGTTTTATAGGGACTGCATATAGGCTTTCGTGCCATAATTGGGCACAAGCTAAAAGGAAGGCACCATGACGACAGAGGGATCCCTCGTCTTGATAGCCAGGTCTTGTGTCTTTTCGCATGCCGCAATTGGACAGGGCCTTGGCACAGGCCACCGACAGGACTTCGCCTTCTCTCTCGGGAGAGGTTGGCCGCGACAGGCCCAGCGCCTTCCGCATGACTTCGGCTCCACTCTGGGCTTGGCGCTCCTGAAGAGCAAAAGCTGTCACAAACCCGGTCCGTTTGGTCCCGCGGTCCCTCGCGGTCCCTTCGGACCCTTCCGTCCTCCAACAAGTGGCCCAAGTAGTCCACCTGCTGCAGCAAGGCCTCGGTGCGGCCCAGCTCCTCCTCCAGCAGCAGCCGCAGCGCCGTGGCCTCGTGCTCCGCACGCTCCGCGTCCTCCGCCCGCGCCTCGCAGGCCGCGCGCTCCGCCCGCGCCGCCTCCCGCGCCGCGTCACGCTCCGCCACCGCGGCGTCCCGCTCCGCCAGCGCCGCCGCGGTCGCGGCGCTCGCGGCGCTCGCGGCCGACGCGAGGCCCGCGGCGCCGGGCACGGCTTTGGCGGCCGCATCGGTCGCCCGGGAGCCGTTCAGCGAGCCGTTCAGCGAGCCGTTCAGCGAGCCAGCCAGGCGCACCAGTCGTCCTGCCTTCCTCCAGCGCTGCGCCGCGTCGGAGTCCCTCCTGTCCTCCTCCTTCTTCTCCGGGCTGACTCGCGTGCTGCGACGCTTACACAGGGCTGTCAGCCGCCGGACTTCCTCCTCTAGCCGCTGGCTGCGCTCCTCGAGCAGGTGCGCTTGCTCCTCGGCCATGCATGCAGCCTCCCGGTGCTCCTTGCAGCGAACTCAGCACGCTCCTTCTCCATGCTGCATGACGGGAACAGCCATTCATCCCTCTCCTGCTCGCTTTGCTCAGAGCGCTTCAGCTTTTGCTTCATGTGTTCCACCCCGCACTCCTCCAAAGTCATGCGGAATGTGCCTCTGGATGTGTCAGTCACGCCTCATCCGAATCCGCAGAGGCACTAAGCAAGCGGGGACGAGCCTGGAGACGCAGACCATGGACCCAAAACAACTCAAACTCGCCTTCTGCGTCTCGAGTTCCAGCTCAAGTCGCCGGCACTCTTCTTCAAGACGGGCGGAGGCCTGCCATCGCGCCAGTGCGCCACGCCCCGGCCTTGAGGACAGCCTGCACGTTCCGAGACTTCTCGCGTCGCAGCACCTCAGCGAAGCTGAGCGGCAACAGATTTGCATGGGAAGGGCACCAGGGCACCTGAAGCTGCTGTTCCAACTCCTCATTCCTGACAAAGAAGGCTCTCGTTGGCATTTGCTTGCAAAGCTCTCTCCTTGCAAGCAACAGCTGCCCAAACTCCGCTGACCTCAGGCCCCAAATGGCCCCAATGTGCCCACTCGGCCCACTCGGCCCACTCGGCCGAAGCCCATCGAGAGCCGGGCTGTTGCAGCGCCTCGCGTGCTCCGCTGGCACCTGGCGTGCCCAAGATGCGCCTCGCGCAAGGAGCTGACGGCGCCGCGCTTTGCCGCGCAACCCCCAGATCCAGGCGGAGCCGCTCCGCCTCCTTTCGCGCCACGAATTCCCAATCGCGAAGCCAATATCCAGTATCAGTGTATCAGTAGTATCCACTCATATCCACTCCGCACTTCAAAGTGTTCAACTCCACTTCAAAGGCCCTCGCGGAGAGGGAAGTCATGCGGTGCACTCGAGGCCAATATGCACAGGCAACAGTCAGCGAAATGCATTGGTTTGGGACTCTTGCTTTCTGTTTCCCTTGCAAGGAAATGGCTGCTCATGGCTCCAACCTTCCAAGATTGATTCTTGGTCTTGTTAACGTGGAATTGTAGCTGAGCCATCGAGCATGCTTGGGACGGGGCGACGACTCACAGTGCCACGCAGGCCGTTTGTCCGAAGTGCCATTGGGGCAGGTGTCGAACTCTTAACATTGGCCACACATGGCTCAAGCCACGTTCGGAGCCAGTGAAACCGGTGAAACGGCGGCAAACTGCGTGTAGGTGCTTCGACTCCACGCCCGCCTCCGTCGACTCAGTCGATCATGTCTTGGTCGTCTCGCCCGTGACTTCAGGGGGCTCCTGCGCAAGCCCCTTGTGAAGCTCTTGACCCTGCAAAGAGAAGGCGCCTCGAGCCAGCACACGAAATTGCCGTGCTCCCACTGCGACTTCCGGGAAAGACCTGAGCCCAAAAACAAGAGGTTCGACAGGTTCGGAACGTCTCTCTTTGGGAAACGTGCCTTTCGCCGTTACAGCGATGCCAACACCGTGCTGCCGACCACTGTCCCATTGGCCTGCCAAGGGCGGGGCTGAGCGAGAAACGAGGCGGGCCCTGGGCCTGTGTAGGACCGACCATCTGGCCAAGAGAGTTTTCCTTCGCCATGCTTCTTGCCTGGCAGTTTTGGGCAACACTGGCATCAAGCTCTGTCTTAGTGTCTTAGCCAAGCGGGCCATCTCTGAACTGGCCCTCGTAGCATCTTCCATCTGTCCATTGCATAGTGCCAGTCGGGCCCATGTGATTCCTGTACAGCTCCCCAATGCAACGCATTTGGAACATTAGCGAACGGCGAACCTGCCTTCGCCACTGCCCGGAGTAGGAGCGCCCATCGCTCCACTGGTACTGGCCTTCTCCATGCATATCATTGGCATCAAAGTCTCCCTGGCCACCGGGGCCCGGGGCAACGGAACGGGCGTGGCAACGGAATAAGTACCGCATGGCAACTTCCATGGCAACTGACAGCTTCCAGCTGGCTTTCGGAGTGCCTCATAGTTGCCGCCGGTGTTCCAAGTGAATTTGCCCTTGCCGCACTTATCGCCATTCTTAAACTGGCCCTGAGTCGAGGAGTCGAGTTTGTGCTCAGGCCAAAAGCAGACTGAAAGCCGCGCCTCAAAAACAGAACCGTCCACCAGCTTCTCCACACCATGACCATCTTGGACCTGTTGCAACACCAACAGGATATGAATGCCTGCGATTTGTTGATTTCATGAACATGCAAGCATAAAGATGTGAACAAATCAGAACCGGGCCTCCATCTTCCACTGACCTTCATAGGTAGAGCCATTACAATACGTGTACCTGCAGGCTTGCTGAATGCAACTCATCAAGACTATCCAAGCATGGGAGGTCCTATCCCCGCCCCCGCCCGACGTCTGGTACGCAGGGTTTAGGGGGGGGGCCACCTGGATTCCACCTGGATTAACCGCAAAAGCTCTGAGCAATCTCCATTCTTTTCCTTCCTTCCTTCCTTCCTTCCTTCCTTCCTTCCTTCCTTCCTTCCTTCCTTCCTTCCTTCCTTCCAGGAAGGTTGAAAACCGAACCGGAAACCGGTTCACCGAACCGGTTTTCAAAACCGCAAGAAAACCGGAAACAAACCACAAACCAACCGAACCGAACCGAACAGAACCCGAACCGCCCCCAGGTTTGCAGGGGCAGCAAGCGTCAAAGCAACAAACCCGCATTATTGGCCGCTTCTGGTTCTGATTTTTGCTTCCGCAGTGCTCGCAACACACGAAACACCGCTGAAATTTGGCAAGCAAAAAAAAGGCCCACGAGCGGTCAGTGACTTGTTTTTTTGGGCTGCTCGGCTTTGGCGCAGACACGGGATCCCGTTCCAAAGCGGCAGCAGAAGGAGTTGAACCCGCAAACTTTGCCGGAACTGCGCGAATAGCTACACGTCCGAGCAGCAACATGTCCCACAGGATTGCCCGAGCACCCTGTTGCAGCCTGGCTGCGCCAGCAGCGCGAAAAGAAGCAACTTACTGACGGTCAGTGGGGTGTTCCCGAAGGCAAGTTGCACAGAGCCAAGTTGCACAGAGCCAAGTTACATAGAGCCAAGTTACATAGAGCCAAGTTACATAGAGCCAAGTTACATAGAGCCAAGTTACATAGAGCCAAGTTACATAGCCAAGTTACATAGAGCCAAGTTACATAGAGCCAAGTTACATAGAGCCAAGTTACATAGAGCCAAGTTACATAGAGCCAAGTTAGAGCCAAGTTACATAGAGCCAAGTTACATAGAGCCAAGTTACATAGAGCCAAGTTACATAGAGCCAAGTTACATAGAGCCAAGTTACATAGAGCCAAGTTACATAGAGCCAAGTTACATAGAGCCAAGTTACATAGAGCCAAGTTACATAGAGCCAAGTTACATAGAGCCAAGTTACATAGAGCCAAGTTACATAGAGCCAAGTTACATAGAGCCAAGTTACATAGAGCCAAGTTACATAGAGCCAAGTTACATAGAGCCAAGTTACATAGAGCCAAGTTACATAGAGCCAAGTTACATAGAGCCAAGTTACATAGAGCCAAGTTACATAGAGCCAAGTTACATAGAGCCAAGTTACATAGAGCCAAGTTACATAGAGCCAAGTTACATAGAGCCAAGTTACATAGAGCCAAGTTACATAGAGCCAAGTTACATAGAGCCAAGTTACATAGAGCCAAGTTACATAGAGCCAAGTTACATAGAGCCAAGTTACATAGAGCCAAGTTACATAGAGCCAAGTTACATAGAGCCAAGTTACATAGAGCCAAGTTACATAGAGCCAAGTTACATAGAGCCAAGTTACATAGAGCCAAGTTACATAGAGCCAAGTTACATAGAGCCAAGTTACATAGAGCCAAGTTACATAGAGCCAAGTTACATAGAGCCAAGTTACATAGAGCCAAGTTACATAGAGCCAAGTTACATAGAGCCAAGTTAGAGCCAAGTTACATAGAGCCAAGTTACATAGAGCCAAGTTACATAGAGCCAAGTTACAGAGCCAAGTTAGAGCCAAGTTACATAGAGCCAAGTTACATAGAGCCAAGTTACATAGAGCCAAGTTACATAGAGCCAAGTTACATAGAGCCAAGTTACATAGAGCCAAGTTACATAGAGCCAAGTTACATAGAGCCAAGTTACATAGAGCCAAGTTACATAGAGCCAAGTTACATAGAGCCAAGTTACATAGAGCCAAGTGGCACAGAGCCAAGTGACACAGAGCCAGGTGGCACAGAGCCAAGGTTAGGTAGAGCTTGCGTAGAGCTTCGGCGTAAGCAAGTATAAATTCCCCCTCCGGGCTCCCGACTTGCCCACGCCATGCTTCCGGTCTGAGTCAAATTGTCCCTCATACTTGGATCCATCTGCAAAGATCAGCTTTCCCTGGGCAGCAAGAGTCTTGCCAAATGTACCGGAGTCTTGCCCAGTGCTCACGCCTGCCCGTGCTTGTCTTCACCTCTCCATTGGCCTTCCTTAGCCGCTCGCTGCGCTCGCTGCTTCGCAGCTTGCGACTATCAACCCCTTGCGGCCCGTGCGGCCCGTGCGCTGAGCCACTTGCATAGATGGCACCGCCACTCAATGTCTGGCCAGCTGGCGTCTTGTCGGAGCCTGCCAAAAGTTAGTTCCCTCACTAAGCCAAGCAGCAGACTGGCACCATGGCGACCCGGGGTAAGAGCCTTGCAGCAAAGCACAGTGGCACAGCCAGGGAACGGCCGGAGAAACAAAAAAACTCACACACACACACACACAAGGCTTGTGCCGGATCGATGCTCAGCGTCGGAGGCCCCCTGAGGGAAATCTCACGCAAAAGCAAAAAGCAAAAAGCAAAACGAAGCACAAAAACCCGGCGCCCTCAACCTGCTAGCGAGAAATCCGGGCCCGGGACTTCTCACAGCCACAGCCCGTAGAGCTGCAGGCGCCCATCTACTCGCGCCTTGCAACCCTTGGAAAGTAAAAAGCCAAACGAAAACGAGAACTCGTCTTCGCTCGGCGCTTGCCACGCTTGCCATGCTTGCCATGCTTGCCATGTTGCCGTGTTGCCATGTTTGCCATGTTTGCTTTTTCGAGCTATCGGAAAGGCTGAGCCTGTGAGCCAGCTGCGAGGCGCGCTCACGTTCATCAGATGCATGGGGACAGCAGTTGGACACCCCGAGCTTTTCCAATCGCAATGGGAGTTGATGTGGGAGCCCAGGATCTGATGAAGGCAGTCTCCCGCAGGCTGGTCCTCAGCGATGCGCTGGATTGCACGATCGGCAGCAGATCAAGCCACAAGCCCGCGACTTGTCCGCGGTCAAGTCAAGCGACCTGCAGAACGATCGCACAGCTTCCAGCACTTCCTCGCTCACTGCGCCTCGCTCGGAGCTGCCCCAGCCCTGCTTTCCCCGCCGGCCCCGCCGGCCCCGCTGGCCCCGCTGGCCCCGCTGGCCCCGCTGGCCCCGCTGGCCCCGCTGGCCCCGCTGGCCCCGCTGGCCTAGAAAGAACAGAAACCCTGGGACGCGATCACCAGTCCTGCCTTAGGCGCTGGAGGCCCTTGGGGCGCTGCGGGCGCCTGACAGGGATGACCCTTCAAGCAAAGGCGCCTCGGGCTGCATCCAGTTTGGAATGAAGTTCCTTTCCTTCAACCTCATCCGAAAAAGGTCCTTCAAGTTCGCCACTCTGTGTTTCGATACCAAGCCTGGAAAAGCCGGGCGTCGGAAGTTCCACCTCTAACCAAGGACATAGAGCAAAATATGTTGTGTTTTTCCCCAAAATGGCTGGAAAGCAAATATTGGCATTGGAAAAGACAAGTCATGTGCAGCCCAACCCACAAACGACCTCTCGCGAAGTGAGCTCTTCCGCTCCGGCGTCCGTTCCAAACTCAAACTGTCCATTTGAGACGGAGCTGCGAAGGGCGGAGGGCCTTGAGAACTGCCCGGAGTCGATCTCGGCACCGTCGGGCTGGGCCACTTCGGCCCCAGCGTTTTGTAGACACAAGCTGCACAAGCTGTTTGAGAGTTGGCAAACGTTGGCAGACGAGAACTGCCCCGGCCCACAATGGTTTCGGTGGCACCGCACCCCACCTTTGCAAATTGTAGCACCAACAGCTTTGCTTTACCCGTACTGGCGTGTCCGCAAAACGAAAATCCTTGTGCAAAAATCCCCACAGCGAGCATAGCAAACATCTCGGATGTCTCTGTGCAAGATCTCTGAAAACTCGGCAGGATCGCGCAGAAGATCCATTTCCACAATCGTTACACGCAGAATCTCTTTCGGAGTCTGATGTTCACGATTCGAACTGCCGCAAAGGTGCTTCAACATGTCCCAAGTTGTTGGTGCTCCAACTTTGCACAGTGCCAGCGAAAGAAAAAGAGAAAGAGACAGAGAGAGAGAGAGAGAGAGAGAGATCGCACATTTGAAAAAGTGGGCCTCACAGAATTCGCACACCCCTTGCACCACAAGACACTTCTGAGATCTGAAACGCCTGTTGCGTGCGATGCGAATCCACCCCGCAACATGGCTTCGACCATCGGCGACAGCTTCCAGGCCTTGGCCTTTGGCTGTTGGCCCCGAAACTCACCAGCGAAGTCCCAGAGCCCAGGGCCGCCGCTCCATGGGGCTACCTGCGGCTTGACTTCAAGCGATCTCGATGTCTTTCGATGTGCGCTGTTGACATGTGTTTACCTTGTCTTTGCTCTATATGTGTGCGGTTCTTTAAAGTATGCTTGCCTTTCTTGTGTTTAATGTCTTTGTATGTGGGTATTATATGCATGATTATGTCGTTTATACCTGTTTATGTTTGATGTTGATGTTCTATAGTGCTGTGGCAGCTTGAAACATGGATTGTGGATTCTGTGTACTTTAAAGTCGGAGCATGTGAGTTGTGTGTGTGTGTCTTCTATGCGGCTTTACGTCGTGTTGTGTTGTTCGGGTCTCTACGTGACTTTTGCTTATGATTCTCGTTTGTTTGCATTGAGTCTTATTTGGTGTTCTGTTTCAAATGTTTTTGCATATATCATATGTCTGTTTTCGGCCTTGATGTCTGCTTATGTGTGCTAGCTGCATGGTTGTGTCTTCTATGTGTTTAAAAATAATAAGTTATGTATGTGTTGGGTCCTTTAGGTATGTCATGTCCTTTTCAGCTGTCCTTGTTCTTTTGTTTAAGTCTTGATGTGCACTTGTCTTGTATTGTGCGTGTGTTTCACATGCATGTCTTCTATGCCTTTGCTATGTCTCTAAGCGTCTTTTAGGTCTGTCACGTCTTGTTTAATGTGTGCATGCGTTTGCATTTGCATACTATTTTTGTCTTTAACATATGTGTGTGTGTGTGTTCAATCTACAATGGTCTTTTGTATGATTCCAATAACAAAGAACCCTGAAATGTTATTTTTCCAGCAAAATATGGCCATTTAAATGTTAAACTATCAAAAGTTATCTGGCTGGGCAAACCAGCTATCCGGCACTGCAGGAAACATTGGTACCATGTATGGCCTAAATGCTGCCAGGTGGCAGCAATTGGATAGTCACATATTTGATATGCAAACAATCCTGAAACTTTAAGCCCTCTTTTTTAACCAATACGTCTTCTGAAAATTGTGCTCGTGTTCTCAGACTACTTTGTCTGTTTGTATCCTCTGTGTCTGCTTTATGTAGTTGTATGTGTTTGGTATGTCTGTTTATGTTTTTGTTTTTGTCTTTGATGTCTGCTTGTTCATACTATGTATTGTCTTGCTGTGCTTTACGTTGCTTTAATGCAAGTGTATGTCTTGCTTACTGTAATAGTTCTGTCTTTTCTCGTACCTTCTGATGGTCCTTTCAGGCAACACTCAGGTCCCAGCAATTGACAGCGCACCCCGGACCATGTCCGCGTCATTGACCTGAGCCCAAGATGAGTCAGGAGTCCCAAAAGCGAGTCATGTGCCTTGGGCTCGTCCTTCGGGTCTTTCAGCACCGGACTCATGTTGAACTCAAAAAGCCACACATCTGGGCAGGGCTCATGAGACGGCTGCCGCTCAACTCAGAATCTCCGACCTCCGTGGGCGTCAACAATGAAATCCGCTGAGAAAATCTCGAACTGGATCTTCCCCAAGCGTCCTGCGAGGGAGTTCACTGGCACTCACAAACTTCACATACACTCCACCTTCTAGGCGTCCCAGAGTCACAGCACGCTCTATCACCTGCAGAATGGGTATCCTCTCTCCTGACACTACCTGACGTCACCTGACGTCTCTGCGTGCCTCTGCAACGACGGCCTTGCACTTGGGATAGGCATCCGCCCACGCCTGACGGAATCCCCCCACGCTGCTTTGCTGCTTGCCCGCTAAAAACTCTAGGCCTTCCAAGTACCAATGCGCTCAGAACGAATGATGGTCACCTGCAATTCCAATGTCGCTCTCACTAAATGGATGCCCTTCCGGCCTGTGTGTCTTTTGACAGGTCAGTAGGCGACCACTTGTTGGGAGAGATGGAAAGGTAGCCTTCCTATGCCAAGTCAGGCAAGTCAGGCTGCCGGAATCAGCAAGATAGACCGTGCCTTAAACGTGTACAAATTCCACCGAACTCCGTCTTCAAAGCCCAGCAAGAGCACGTAGAACTGGAAACTACTTTGTCTGATGCGATGTCACTGTCTCAGTACGTTCCGAGCCTTTATGTGGCACTTGCGGCCATCCTCTGTTAGCAGCGGATCCTGGACTCCACTTGATTGCCTCCCGCGCCCCTCAACTCCGCCGTCCTTGATGTGCGGCTGCACAACGTAGACCCCATTGGGCCTGAAATGCAGAAAGCGGCCTGAATTTACGTCAATGAGACCCACAACAGCAACTGCGAGCGTTCGAGGCATGGGCTTTGCCAGGCTGAGACAAGCCGAAGGTCTTGCACAAACATGCACGGAAGTGCCTGAGGTTCTCAGCATGGACCTTTGGTACCCCCAGAGCTGAGCCAGTCGCCCCAATTCCTGTCCGCCTCCTTCACAAACCAGGGCAGCTCGGAAACCTGACGAGTCTCCGTCGAGGTCAGCCAGTTGCGTTACCCCACCTGGTCATCAGGGGGAGGAGCTGCTCCTCTCCACTGCCCGTCTTCGATAATGTACCTATCAAGATCGCAAGGCGATCGCAAGGCGATCGCAAGGCGATCGCAAGGCGATCGCAAGGCGATCGCAAGGCATTCCATGGACATGACAGCTTGATTTGGGCACGTGTCCGGCATCTTGCCGGGAGCCAGATCCAAAACCTGCCAATGCGCGGCCAGCAATCAATCTTCTGAGTGAAAAATGCCTTGGTCTTCTCCTCCAGCCACGCCCTTCCCTTCAAATACCTGTCCAACGGCTTGCAGTTCGCACATGGCCTGTGACCTCATTCTGGCGTGCAAGATCTGAGTCTTGCAGCCCAGGTACATTGCGATGCGGCTGAAGTGAGACTCGTCTGCAAAATCCACCAACTTTTTGCCCAGCGGGCAATGATATTCATTGCCCTTTTCATCCTGAAAGCTGTCATGACAGGGACTGGCTGCCACTTGTTCAGCTCCGCCTCAAACCATTTCTGGTTTGGGTAAACCCGCCAATCAGGTCTCTCAAGCAAGTACTCGCAAAACCTGCCATGTCCGCCGCACTTAGGTGCATGCAAAAAACATCCAAACCACAAGTCGCCTCTGGCCATGACCCCCGACCTTGCAGTTTGTGCAGTACTTGTACCTGGGCGTCAATGCATTGGCTATAGAATGCTCCCCCAGCTTCAAGCCTGCAGTCATATCTTAAGAGCGTTTACTCCTAAGTCAGGATCACTCTTTATAAAATATAGGGTAATTAATGGGTTCCCATCGACTCTTGTGTTTGTTTGCCGACGATCTGGGGACAAGCTTTGGAACGAGATTCAATTTGGCTTCAGGGTTTGTCCCATCCGTTACATGAGATCTATGATGAGTGTCGAAGTTGTGTGTTTCGTCCATGAGATGTTCAGGGTGTGCATTCGCCTCTCGTGACTTTGCGGTTGCCAGAATCATGCCACCTTCTGATACCTTCCGACCTTCTGGCCGGCACCTGTCGCCTTTCATGCCCCGCCCCGACCCCGCATAGCACGTGCGCGTAGGGATCCCAACCTCTGTTTGAGAATCTGCCCGTCGGCATCCACAGAGACAGGCGCTGGCTGCGAGTCATCCACCGCCACAACCAACGACTTGTCATCGATGACCTTACTCAAGTGCCCCAAATGCGTATGTTAACTTTAGTGCTTGTTGGACATCCAGAGTGGCAAAAGACTTCACCTCATTTGTGAATTCACGAAGCTGGCCTCCTTCATGGAGGTCATTTCCAGCCGGCTCTGCTCATTCTCCTGGTCCGCTTGCGCCAGGTGCTTGTTCACGATGTTCTGGCGAAATGCGCGAAATGCGCGAAATGCGCGGGAGGCCCTCAGCCGCAGAAAGGCACCTCACTGCCTAGCAGAGCCGGCCCTCGGCCCTGGCCTGCTCCAGTTGCTTCATTCGTGCGGCCGTCCGCAGGTCGCGGACTGCCGCCCGAACGCGGCCTGTCCAAAAGGAATGCCTCGCCTCGCTCCTCGCCCCTCACTTGGACCAATGCCAAGATGTGCCACGGATGATGTGCCAAGACGGTGCCAAGACAGCGCCTCCCGGTGCCCGCCTGCCAGCTGCAGGACTTTCTGCGCATCGCCGGCATCCAGCGCGCTGATGGACCGAGCTGCCTCCAAGGCCTCCGTCACCTGCATCTGATCCCATCCGTTTTCCGCTGCCTCGTCTCGAAAGGGAACCCCATCCCATGGCCGTCTGCCTCCAGCTCCGCAAAGGACAGCTGCGTCTGCCTCACCCGCAAACGGTTGCGGCCGATCTCCGTCAGGACCTGAGACGCCGAAAGGCCAGGCTCGCTCGACTCCAAGGCTCCAAGGCTCCAAGGCTCCAAGGCTCCAACTTCCCGCTGCTCTGCAAGGGCTGCATGTTGATCCAACGCGTCCTATCGCTCTCCATGATCTTTTGTCTCCAAAGCGTCTGAATGGGGCCTGTATGCTCCAGGACCTTTCGTACCTGCACTTGCGCTGAGCGCAACACGTGCACCCTGAACATTCTGTACTGCGCACGCGACAAAAATGTCCATGTGCATGTTCCTTGCAGTGTCACTCTCGCTCTCTCGCTCTCTCGCTCTCTCGCTCTCTCGCTCTCTCGCTCTCTCGCTCTCTCGCAAGTCTGCTCGGGACTCAGAAGCTTGCCGAGGCGTCTTGGAGGCCATGGCTTCTGCGCGCGCTGTGGCGCGCCCTTGTATGGATGTTCGATGCATGGACTCATGCGTTTGTCTCTGCGTGTGTCTCTGCGTGTGGCACTCGTGTACTGCTTGCATGTGCACGCTTTTGTTTTCTGTCAGGGTGTGCTCAAAGGTGAGGGGTCGAGGTGGGCCGTTGCCAACTCTTCGGACATACGCAAAGTTGCCGAGCTGTACTGTTGGAGAACTTGCCTTTCTGTCTTTCCCAGCTCAGAGCCCAAGGTTTTGTCTTTCCACAGTGACACTCCGACCAAGCGCGCGGAGCTAAGATGGTGGCCAGGAAACATGTTTTAGAATGCACTTGCTCGAAAGAGAAGAGCACCAACGCTCGCATTCAAAGAGAAAGAAGAGGGAATGAGATGATTGATCGATATTCGAGATTGAGCTGCAACGTGCTGTAAGTGACGTGCTACTTTTGAGCGCGGCCAGTGCGACGAAACGACAACGCTAAGGCCCACACCATCTACATTTGGGCATGGTGCACGAAGCTTTGCTCGCTCCCAAGCGACTCGCCCAGCAGTTTTTCACGCCGGTCAGCAGGTGGGCTCACCCAAACTCCGCTCCAATCAATTCCGGCTGCTGTCTCAGCATGTCAACCTGCCAACTGAAAGCGAAACCGAAAGGTTAAGTCCGAAAGCAAGTGCTCCTTCCTTCGAAAGCTTTCCTTAAGATCCTTAAGCACTGCCAGGCAGCCATGTACCGAAGCCCGTAACGTTCCACCAGGAACTGGGCGACGGAAGCCTCTCGAATCGAAATCCAAATAAGATCGAAAAATCAGATCCAAATTCGACAGATCTCGATCCAAATCGATCCTCGGCCGATCTGACACTTTGAACACTTTGAACACTCTGCCGACTTTGCCGACTTTGCCGACTTTGCCGACTTTGCCTGCTGCACGCACTGCTGGAGGAGGAGAAGCAACTCCAGGAGCTCCCGGTCGACTCGATTTTCGGCAGTCCTGACAAGCAAGAACGAAAAGCAAGATGCAAAGCAAGGACAGAAAGGAAAAGATGCAGTGAAGGAAGCAGAGCAAAGATGCAGCTCCGCTTTGAGAAAGGCAAGTGCCAGTCTGCCAGTCCAGCTGGAGACCACAATGCCGTTGTCGAGGCACAGTGCCAGGGATACTGGAGAATTGTCCACCAGCACGACCCGCTCCATGGGACGTCCCAGTCGCCGCAGGTCCTGATACTCAAGTGCACTAAGTGCCCCTCTTGTACACTAGGTGCACTTCAAGATGCAAACTCCGAACACAAAAAATAAAAAAGATGAAGAAAAAAAAGAGAAAGAGCCTTCAGGAAGGCACCACCACGCTCTACACAGTGCTGGCCTCGCATTGTGCCGATGCGCCGTGCCTTTGTGGCTAGATTTTCTTTGGGCGGCGGTAGAGTCGCGCAGATATGCACCGCCGGTCCGGGTCGAGCTGATCCAGGACCTCGGCAACACGTGCGGCACGAAGTCTCTTCCCCCCCACCCCCTCCTGGTCCGCATAGCCCTGCGAGGATGCGGTGAACACCACAACCTGCACAGCGCACACTGCGCATTCAGTAATGCGCACGCGGCACACGGACTCGGACTCGACGCCTCGAAGAGCCGGGCGGCAACCTGCAGGAAGAGCTGCGCGAAGGGCCGGACGTAGACGTAGCCCGTGGCCTGCGAGCGCACGCTGGCGTGTTGTTCGCGTTGCCTTGCGCGTTCTGCCAGCGTAGCCGCGGTGGCTGACATTTACGATCTCAGAAACAAGAGACTATCACATGGATGTGTCAAATATCCGAAGAACCATCCAACAAAAAGTGCTGGAGCAATTCATCACGAACGAATGCAAAAGCAAACACATAACTCAATGACTGCAATACTAGTGGGAAACGTGCAGATAAGAAAAACAAATGTGTTTGTGAAGTGCGAAGTCAAATTCCAGCTGAGCTTTCGGCATGGATCCAAATGAAGTCTTTGGTTCCACATACCAAAGTGCTTCGGGTACTACTTGTTCATGTGGCTGCATAAAGACATGCAATTGAAGTCCATACACCACGAATGCTTGACAGGGAAGATGGTTTCCACACTGGGAATAACGTGTTTATAGATTCTACCTTTGGAAAATGGTTCGAGGGGGTGTACTGACAAACAGGTTGCTCGCGGCATGCGCCTTTCATATCCATTTGACTAGCTAGAAAGGCACAGTGCAACAGAAACATGCCCAATACGTGACAAGCATTGCGAGAAAACGGCGGAGGATCAGCCCCCGCAATAGGCAACTAAATGGAAGGGTGCAAAACACCCGAAAGAGGAACACAGCGAGCAGAGGCGACGCAATGAGAAAGATACTGGGGCAAGAAATGCAACAAAACAATTACCGCCGGTAAAAAACAAAACATTGTCAAACCATTGGGAGAAACAACTCGTGCCTAGCATCCTCAAGCCGAGGCTCCTTGCTGACTGGCTCGACAAAGTAGCTGCGATGGCGTGCCAAACAAATGTTTGGCCTTCTCAATCGTCATTGCTTGAAATAGCACAGTTTGGAAGCTTACACTTTATGACAACTGAGCCATGTTTCTCGATTAAAATTGAGGGATCTCCTGGATTCGTGCTGGCAGAAGTGAAATAGATTGAACCGTCTGCGAGGACATGAACTCTGCAATGCGCATGAAAGCAAGCGAAACAGCAAACAGCTTTTTGGCACAAGCGCTGGATATCCGCCGACATTCGGCGTGTCGGACACCCCCCCCCGACGTCTGATACGTGGGGTACGGGGGGGGGGGGGGGTGGCAGGGAAGAATGAGTCCTATGCGTCGCCGCGCGTTTTTGTGCATTTGAGCACCTCTTCATGTTACATGTTCATGCACTCACACGCACACCAAAACTCTATCCCCACATGGTGCTACAGAGATAATGTGCACTTACCATGCACAAGGATAGGGTTGAACAAACAGACACTTGGTTCAAACATGTGTGTTCTTTCTCGTGTGCATGTTTCAGTTTCAATTTCATGACCAGCAAAGGAATTGCAAGCACGCAGCTAAGTAATATTGCCCGTGGCCAAACACAGGGCACAGGCGTGCAGCTAGGTTCGATGTCAGGAGACTGACAAAAGCCACAGGCGCACAACTAAGTCCTGTTTGCTAATGATTCTACTTATCATCAGTCTTCTAATTCATTCTTCTCATTCTTCCCAAAGGGACGGGTGACTGTTGGGGAATTCCAAATATTTGTCGCTCTCATCATTGTATTTCTTAGACTTGCTCTAAGTATTCGAACAACTGCCAAAGGGACGGGTGCCTGTTTAAAATTCAAGAGTCCTCTGCGCTAAGTGTTCTACTTATCATCAGTCTTCTAATTATAATTGTTCTTCCGGGAATTGAAGATTGTTTTTGCAAATTACACTACTTAGCATACATCTTCTAACTTTTTTCATGAGTTCCAAAGGGACGGGTGACTTTGGGGAATTCAATATTCATGTTTGCTGGTTGTTTTTTGTAAATTATTCTGCATATCATAACTCTTCTAATTATTTCTTATCATTCTTCCCAAAGGGACGGGTGACTTTTAGGGAAGTCCCAAAATGTTTTGTTCTAATCAGTTCATTTCTTACTAAGTATTCAAACCACTCCCAAAGGGACGGGTGCCTTTTTGGGAATTCAAGAGTCATCTTTGCTAATTGTTCTACTTATCATCAGTCCTCTAATCATAATTGTTATTCCCAAAGGATTGGTGCTTTTAAAAAATTGAAGATTGTTTTTGCAACTTATGCTACTCAGCACACCTCTTCTAACTAGTTTTCTCATGAGTTTTAAAGGGACGGGTGCCTTCTAAGGAACTCAAGAGTCCTGATTGCTAATTGTTCGTCTCTAATAAGACATTTTTCCCAAAGGGACCGGTGCATTTCAGGATGGAATATTCATGTTTGCTAACTAGTCTGCTCATCATAACTCTTCTAGTTCTTCTCCAAAGCGACGGGTGACTTTTGAGGAAGTCCACATTAGTTTTTGTTCGAAACATTGTGTGTCTTATACTTGCTCTAGGTATTTGAACCACTGCCCAAGGGACGGGTGCCTTTTTGGGAATTCAAGAATCATCTTTGCTAATTCTTCTACTTAACATCAGTCTTCTAATTATAATTGTTATTCCCAAAGGGACGGTCCCTTTGGGGAATTTAAGATTGTTTTTGCAACTTATACTACTTAGCATACATCTTCTACTTATTGCGTCATGAGCTTTAAAGGGACGGGTGACAACGGGTGACCCTCGGGAATTCAATATTCATGTTTGCTGGTTGTTTTTGTAAATTATTCTACATATCATAACTCTTCTAATTATTTCTTATCATTCTTCCCAAAGGGACGGGTGACTTTTGGGGAAGTCCAAACATGTTTTGTTCTATTCATTGTATTTCTTAGACTTGCTCTAAGTGTTCGAACAACTGCCAAAGGGACGGGTGCCTTTTTCAAATTCAAGAGTCCTCTGTGCTAATTGTTCTACTTATCATCAGTCTTCTAATTATGATTGTTATTCCGGGAATTGAAGATTGCTTTTGCAAATTATACTACTTGGCATACATCTTCTAACTTTTTTCATGAGTTCCAAAGGGACGGGTGACTTTGGGGAATTCAATATTCATGTTTGCTGGTTGTTTTTGTAAATTATTCTGCATATCATAACTCTTCTAATTATTTCTTATCATTCTTCCCAAAGGGACGGGTGACTTTTGGGGAACTCCAACTTCATGTTTGTTCGTACTAAGTATTCGAACCACTCCCAGAGGGACAGGTGCCTTTTTGGGAATTCAAGAGTCGTCCGTGCTAATTGTTCTAGTTATCATCAGTCTTCTAAATATACTTGTTATTCCCAAAGGGACGGGTGCCTTTTGGGGATTGAAGATTGTGTTGCGCAAATTGTTCTACTTATTCCTAACTCGTCTAGTTAAGTATTCACATTATTCCCAAAGGGACGGGTGCCTTTTGGGGACTTGCAGGTTCATGTGTGTTTAATCATTCTATGCCTTTTGATTGCCCTAAGTATTCGGACCACTCCCAAAGGGACGGGTGCTTTTTGGGGAATTCCAGGCCAGTCTTTCACCAAGGGACGGGAGCAAATTGGCGAATTCCAGAATCGTGTGTTTTCTATTCATCCTTCGTCTTCTTCCCCAAGGGACGGTTGCCTTTTGTGGAATTCCAGATTCAAATTCGCTCTAAATATTCTACTTTTTACAATAATAATCATTCTCTAATTTGTTCCAAAGAGGGGTGCCTTTTTGTGGAAATCAACATTCATATTTGGCAAAGTTATTCGAATCATTCTAACAACTCGAAAAATTCTAATGGTTCTGGATACTTTCAATTGGCCGGGTGCCATTTGGGGAAGTCCAGATTCATGTTGCGCTAATCATTCTACTTCCCTAGTTTATTCAAGTTTATTGATTTCTTCTTAAAGAAAGGGTGCCTTGGTTCATGCTTCTTGTAACTTGTTTTTGTGGATTTCCAGGCTCTTCTGTTCTGATTGTTTTGGCTGTGCTAAGTATTCCCAACGGCACGGGTCCCTTCTGGGGAATTTCGGTTGCTCCCATGATCCCAATTATGTTCTTCCTTCTATGTATTCACAAAGGGACGGGTGACGCGCGCCTTTTGAGGAATTCCAATTTCAGAGTCATGTGTGCGCGTGTTCCAATTATTCTAACTACGCAAATTATTCTAACTATTCTGAAAGGATCGGGTACTTCTTGAGGACTTCAAGATCCTTGGTTCCTAACTATTATACTTCTTATACGTGTTTTGCTTTTTCTAATTATTCAAATTCTTCCCAAATGAATTCCAAAAATTGCAACAAGTGCAATATGTGCGGGTCCCGCATTTTGCAACTATTGCAATTATTGGAGCTCAACTTCAAAAATTGCAATAACTGCAATAATTGGAGGTCCTGGATTTGGCAATTATTGCAATTAGTAGAATTCAGTTCCAATAACTGCAATATTTGAGTGGTCCCGGATTTTGCAATTATTCCAATTGTTGCAATTCAATTCCAATAATTACAATAATCGCAATATTGGAGGGGGTAACGGATTTTGCAATTATTGCAATCATTGGAATTCAATTCCAATAGTTGCAATAAATGCAACATTTGGAGGCTCTGGATTTTGCAATTATTGGAATTGAATTCCAATAATTGCAATAACTGCAATATTTGGAGGTCCCGGCTTTTGCAATTATTGCAATTTTTGGAATTAGTCGGCCCGGCTTTGAGGCCACCTCTGGGATCAATTAATTATTGCAATTATTGCAATTATTGGAATTCAATTCCAATAATTGTAATAATTGCAATATTTTCAGGTCCCGGATTTTGCAATTATTGGAATTATTGAACTTGAATTCCACAAAAACAAAAAATATCTATTGTACTTCGTTAAAAAATGACTTAGGGAAATAATGACTCAATATATTATAGTGAAATGTTGCTTAACTATAACAAGTGTGAATGTTGTAAAAATACAAAGAATGATGTTAGTTTAACCTTACATCATTTACTACCAACAAGTGTATGTAATAAAATAAGTGAATATAATGTATATTGCAATCAATGCTGTGTAACAAGAGACCGTGAAAAGCTTTTTCTTGGAGAACATAAGGATAAGGGATATACAAAATTTCAACTACAGTTGAAATTCTTTATGAGATATCAAAAACGATTTCCTATACACTTTTACCATAAGATTTCCAGAAAGTCATTTGAACAAGAAATTGATGAATTCTTTAATAATAAGGTTTTGATCAAAAGGTTTGGAGGCGAACTAAGTATTAAACCTTATAAATCATTTGTTTAAAAATTTCGTGATATGTTTGAAGAAATTGATTGGAATTTATTAAACAAAGATAAAGTACAAGAAGTCTTGAACGAAATTAGAGTAACTAAATATAGTATATGGTATCACTACAACACTAAATATACAGTATGTCTATTAGTTAATTTGTTTTTCCGGGAATACATGCATTCCATGATAGGAAAAGACAATATCAAATATATAGATGAAGATGATATAGGTAAATATGTAGATTACATATTTGGAGACATATTGCCTGACTATTATTTTTGACCCATAAACCTTACAATAAAAAAACATTGTAAGGTGTGTGAATATATTGGAAATAATTAAAGTTTATATTCATTCTTTGAAAATGACTTAAGGAAATATTGACTTAATATAATAAGAGGAAAATGACACTGTTTAATTATAGCAATTGTCCCTAAAAAATATGAAATGTAAAACTGTTGTAGCACTAGCAAATAAATTACCTGTTCACGTTTGTAATCTTATAGGTGGTTATAATAAAGCAGATTGTTTTAAATGTCAGTGTTTGAAAGAAAAAGAAGAGAGTCTTATGAATGAACCGTCTTTACTTGATGATGGAATAGAAGAAGCAGAAGCTCAGTTATTGTTCTTCAGAAGTATGTTTAACAAAGATATTACTCAACTGCGTTTAAATCATCAAGATAACAGAAGTTACAGAAAATCAATAGATAAATTATTTGATAAACAAGAGGTTAAAGAAAGATTTGGGAACAGGAAAAGTTATTATCAAGCAATGAAATCATACTGTAAAAATAACAGTCTTGAAGTTCAAGGCATTTTAGAGTACTGTATTAATATTCAGAAATTAAAACATATGATGTGTAATTGGTTATTAATGCCAAATCTAAACAGTTGGTGGGAATATAGAAATACAGATTATTGTATGAGAAACATCTTAAGCGACTTAATTGAAATTTACAAAGACCAATTAATAAAAGGATACGAACATTATTGTTGTAGAAAAGGGTTGATAAGTTATTCTAATCATATTGTTGCTGAAATTAAATTTGGATAAAAATACAAAATAGAAAAACTGTTTATTTATATTGTGTTAGTATAGTATAAATTAACATTGTAAAACTTTATAACCTTAGAAAATATCAAATTATTTATTGAAAGTGAAAAGTTTAATGTTAAAAATGCAGTGAGAGATATTAATATTATTTAAAAATGATGTATGAAAGAAGTAAGATGTATCAATTAAATTATTATCCTGAACTTAAATTCTGAATTACACCATAAACCTTACAATAAAAAACGTTGTAAGATTTATGATTTGGATTTCTGGGATGTGTATTTTAGAATTTATGGATTTAGTTTCAAGGAATATTGATTATATTTTCAAGGAAGTTTTACTATTAATACTAGTAAAACTAGTATAAAGAAATATTACCATTAAAAATTAGTTATGGGTTTGATGGAATATTATTACAGAAGAAATGCTATAACACCTGAAAAGGAACTGGTGGAACAAAAATACGATTATCAATGTAATATATGCCTTTACTGAAAAAGTTAATGATTTTGGAATTAAAAGCACTGGGCGGATTTATAAAAATTGTAAAAGGTGTAGAGACGTAAGGGAAAAAGCAAGTATCAAAAGAAAAGAAAAACAACAAAATAAAACAGATGACCATAATAAGATAATGAATAAGGTTGATTATTCAGATAACTTAAGTCGCTTAAGCCAATGAAGATTAAGTCAAAATTATGAAGGTGGTTTAAATAGCGAACATTGAATAAGTTAAGACATGTTTTACATAAAATTTTGACAATTGTAAATTTCAAAGAATGGAAAAATAGGACTTAGTATATAAAATGAAAAAGGTGAATAAATACATAAAATGAACAAAGTTAAACACAAGCTTGATAATGAATAAGGTTTAAATATTCTCAAAGAATTATCAAAATGAATAAGGTTATAATTTGATAACCGTATTTAATTCATATATTTATGAATTTATTTGTAGGTTGATAGAGAAACAAAGAGATTCCTCTGCTCCGCAGCCACTGGGCATCCCGTGGAAGGCCACCCAACCAGATGTCGCTTCCACCCACCCTGGTCCGGCAGGGAGGCTCGGGGTTCCCACTATTATATGTCCAGCCCGGACCCACCTCGTTGCCCTCGGAGTTAAAACCACGTCGAACTCGGCATCTGTGACTGGCAAACTGGGTGGCGCACTCCTGGACGAGGCTGGCGCCGCAGGCCGGGGCCAGGTCTCCAGTCCTTGCTCGCTTGCTCGATCTCTGCAAATGCCTAAAGCGAAGAACCCTGAAGGTCATGGCCCACGCACCAAACAGGCACAGCCAATGTCTACTCCCGATCTCACGCTCCACAGCCTCATCAAGGAAGTGGATCAGCGCCGGCTCCAGCACTACACCCGGCGAGGCCTGCGCGCCAACCGCATTGGACTTCTTCTTGGGGAAGATCATGAGCCTCACCACACTGAGATCCAGGGAGATCCGCACATCAGTGACCGCTGGTCGCGGCTTGGGGCCGGGCTATTGGCCATAAAGTCTGCCAAATGATGCTTGTCCAGGTCGGCCACCTGCAAGCCCCGGCGAGCCATAGGCGCGCACATCCCTCCAAGTTGCCAATGCACCTCGAACGGTCGCCCCCTCCGATCTCCTGCAGACATCCTCCGCAATGCGCTGGAACAACACTGACGAAGAGGGACCCTCCGCAAGCGAAGAACCTTCCAGCATAAGAGCAACCATTTGGTGCACATAGCCGATGCCAGCGGGCTGCGCCTTCTCCAGGGCCATGGGCCTTGCCCTGGAAGGCTATGGCCTCACAGCCACCAAAGGCTCGTCCTGTCCCGTAGTTGTGTCTGCTGTTGGCCCGTTCTCTGCTCCTGTAGTTTGTTGTGCTGAGGCTGATGCTGCTTCTCCTGACATGTCGTAGTAGTTTGGCATGTGACTGCTGTTGCCGTGGTTGTAGTACTTACTGCTTACTGGAGCTCCCCTATGTTTAGGATCTCAGCTCCGCTACCACGTTAAAATTGGTGGTTACTTTGCTTACAAGTGCAAGTGTTGCATTGTTCAAACAAACAGTCAACCGATTGTAGTCTGCAGCAATCCACCTTTTACACATGCGATGTAGTGAGCTCAAGGCCTGCAGTCACATGCAACACAAATGCAGGAAGTGAAGCATGTAGTTTGACAAGAGAGAGAGAGAGAGAGAGAGAGAGAGAGAGAGAAGAGAGAGAGAGAGAGAGAGAGAGAGAGAGAGAGAGAGAGAGAGAGAGAGAGAGATGAGACGAGAGAGAGAGAGAGAGAGAGAGGGAGACTCAGGAGAGAGAGGCTTGGGGGGAATGGGGAGGATGGGGAGCAGAGGGAGGGACAGAGGATGAGGGAGAGAAGGGAGAGAGGAAGAAGGAGAAAAGGGAGAGGACAATGTCGGCGGACTGAGCCGGAGGCTCTAAAGTTGAAGTGGATATCTGCAACTGGGCCCTTCCCTGGCCTTGGACTCCTCAAACTGCACGCAAAAGTCCGGCCTGCGGGGACTTTGGGAACAGAGCCTTGGAGCATCTGAGCTGCGGGCTTCTTCTCCAGCTGCTCGAGGCGGCAGTGCGACAGCGTCTCGTCCAGGTCCTGAAATGCACGTTGTGCTACGACTGTACGACTGTGCTGCGCGCACACTGCCGTGCACACACCATCACCATCCCACACCCGTGCCGGAGAGAAAACGCCCAAAGCAGCCCCCGTCCAGCACCACCGTCAAGCCCACCTTCCGTGCGAAGAGCGAAAGCAAAAAAGCGAAATGCACGAGGCCTCCCGAGGCGGCAGCAGCGGAGGTCCCTGCACGGGCCAAAGGCATCCCGGCCCGTTCCTTTCCTTCTTTTCCCTCCTTTTTCCTCTCCCCGGCCTCCTGAACGGGCTCCTCTGTGCATTCAAACCTGAGTCAACCCGCTCTCGCTCTGGTCACCATCGTCGCTGCGAGCCAAGAAACGCCAAGAAGCGCCAAGCAGCTCGCAGGTTGTCCTGAACGAAGCAAAGCGCTCGGCGCGCGCTGCGCGCGCTGAACATTTGGGCATGGGCATCCAGCTGCGACCAGTCGGGCGTCCGCATCGCGACTCCCATAGCTGGCTCACTCCTGAAGTGACCGAAGTGACCGGCGGGGCTCCAAGGCTCGCTGGGGCTGCGGCCCTTCGAATTCCATGGCACAGGCCACAGCTTTGCACTCGCCCTGGGCGCCCCGGGAGAAAGAGAAAGAGAAAGAGAGTGGTGCGCATCGAGGTGCAGCTTGGACCGCGCTCATGCAATAAACCTGTTGTACAGTGGTAGCCATTCAATACTGGCCAGTATCATGACCAGCCACACGCCGTGGAGGTGCACTAGCAAACTGGGCTTGTTCTTGGTGCCATGTCTCAATGCGACGCCCGTTCTCTTGGATGAAAGGGCTTGAGCAAAGCTAAGCTGCATGAGTCACAAAAGCCCAAAAGAGCCAAAGGCGACCCGCTTGTCAGTCAAAAGACAGCCTCAACCGCATCCTTTTCGGGTGAAACTGCCTATGGTCTGCCATGGTCTGCAACCTGCCCGGGTCGCATACATCAACATCAGAGATGCCGCAGAGCTTGCCGCGCCTTTCCACTGAATGCTAAGCCTGAGGCAGGCGAATCAATGGAGCCAGTTGAGTCAGCTGCAAGGATGCGACAGGAACCAACAAGTAGGTCTCAATAATCTTCGCGACGCTGCTTGTCACCTGATGCGTGGCGTAACGCGACGCCGCCATGTGACCCAGCCTGCCTCCCCGTGCTGCGTCCGCACAGTGAGCCGCACCATCTGCCGCCCGCCGTCGTACTCCAGTCGAACCTGCCACACATTGAACTCAAACATTGACCAATTGCCAACCCCCCAACACGTCAGGAGCACCAAGATGGGGACTGTCATCATCTTGCCCGGCTGGGACGGGTCCGGAGTCGCTGTGTGCAGCGTGCCTCCAACCAGCCAAGTTCCCAAGCAGAGACTAGCATCCCACTGGCCTGCGGCGAATGCTGCAGTTGGTCCACTCTCCGGCAGCAGAAAGAGGTTGAAGCCCTACACAGGCGACTCCTAGATCCAGACTCACCAAACCCATCAGACTCATCTCTCCGCCTTTTGCAAATAGTTTGGCCATTGGTTCGGCGGCTGCTTCGCCTGTCCGAGAAATGAATTACTGCCTCATTCCTTCACTCACATGCTTCATGCTTCTCGCTTCTCTCCGCATCTCTCGCCTGTCCCACGGCAACAAGCTCTCGCGGAGGGCCAGCCAGTGAGTCAAAGAAGGGCCGAAATTGAGGCATCTGCAAGACCAGAGTGAGCAACGGAGAGCTCGGCAAATAGGGCAAGTAGGGCCAATGAAGCGAATTGGCCTGAACTTCTGCTGGAGACACAAACTTGGTGACGACTGCTGGCCTAAGTGGCTTAAATGAGGCACCCAACGGCACCAGGCAAGCTAGGCCGTGGACAACATCAGGGGTACCTGCTGCGTGCTTCCACCAGCGCTGTACCTCAGAAGGGTAGCAGAGGAAGCAGAGGAAGCAGAGGGAGCAGGAGCAGAGGGAGAGCGAGGGCTGGAGAGGGCACTCAACAGCATACTTCGTAGGCTGAAGAAAGGGCCGCAGGCATTGCACTTGCACCAGATGCGGCGCCTGGGCCAAGGCCCGAAGCCCTTTCACTTTTGCTCCCAACCAGGCCTGCTCCCCAGGTTTCAACGTGGCAGGGACCTCTGCACGTGCGTCTTGAACTGGAGCGGCGTGTCTGGCTCGGCCTCGCTGAACGTCTGGATCTTCATGAAAGGCACCTGCACAAAATGTCAAAAAAATGTCAAGAGTAGACCGAGTCGTGTGAGCCGTTCATTGCAGGCCTCGGGGATTTGAACACGAATGTTGCTCATTGGCCCCTGCGCTCACACGCTGATATCGAGGGGGCGGGTCGGCACTGCGTGCCTTGGAGTTGTTTGTAAAAAGGATGGTCAGGCGACCAGTGGCAGTATTGTACCTGGAATCAAACATGACAAATCACCGGCGAGGCGTGGTGGGAAGTCGCACTCTTGCTTCATCTCCAGGACCAGCTGCGGGGAGCTGTAAAACCTGCGGATGTTTGCGATTGCAAACGTTCTGTTCAAAGCCAACCTGCTCCCACCTTCCTGTTTGAGCCAAGCACAATTGTAGCCAAAGCTCCTGAAACCAACTGAGAATCTGCCCCATGCACAAGTGTTTGTGTGTTTGTGTGGGTGTGTTTGTGTCGTGTTGAGTGTGTCTGTGCTGTGTGTGTGTGTGTCTTGTGTGTCTTGTGAGGACTACACAAAAGTTTTGTGTTTCTGTGTGTGTTTCTGTGTGTGTGTGTGTTGTGCTTTCTGTGTGTGTGTGCGTGCGTTGCGTGCGCTTGTGTATGTGGCTGTGTTTGTGTGTGTTTGTGTGTGTGCGAGTGCGCTCTTTGTGCGTGTGAGTGTGTGAGTGTGTGAGTGTGTGAGTGTGTGAGTGTGTGAGTGTGTGAGTGTGTGAGTGTGTGAGTGTGTGAGTGTGT